AATTGCGTAAGTCCCGCCGCATGCATTTGGAGATCTGTCTGATCATGTATACTGTCAAATCTACTGAAGACTGCAGCTTCATATCCCGTCTAACAGCCATAAGATTAAGAGTGTGATCGGAGAGTTTTTGTGTTCTTCTGCAGCGGGTCTTGCAAAACTTAGCTCCGACCGCATGGAGTTTCCACGAGCTTGTCATTCATATCGTCCATTGCATTGCAATCTTCTAGGCACTGAAAACGGTTTCGTAGCTCGAGCTGAAAGGTTTCGGGACGTTCGATTAGAGCATGAGGGGGACGGAGCGTTGACTTCATTAGACGAGACCTCTCCAACTTAACGTTTAGGTTCAGTGTGCCTCTAACCATTCGGTGATCGCTGCCGGTTTTCACCCTCGCGATCACTGAGACATCACTGAACAGTTGTCGTCTGGTCGTCATAATGAAGTCAATCTCATTTTTTGTCGAACCGTCGGGGCTCGACCAGGTCCACTTCTTGTGGGGCCGCTTCTGTAAGAAAGAGTTCATCATAAAGAGTCCCTCTATCTCCATGAAGTCGGCCAGCTGCTGGCCCCTTGGGTTACGTTGCCCTATTCCGAATTTCCCTACTTTTAGCTCACCGTTCTCTCTTGTACCTAGTTTTGCGTTGAAGTCTCCCATTAACACCGTATAGTGTGTTTCGGAGGAATGCATGGCTCTAGAGATATCCTCATACATTTTATTTGTGTTTATTTTATCATAAAATTTGTTTCATTGTATAGGTTATAGTCATTTAATCAATATCAGAAAATTATGTATACTAAATTTTCTAGATATTAGAATTTTACTGCCTAGGTGTCGATCGGTCTGATTATCTATTACCCTATTACAAATTATGCTCTGGTCTGCTGTGGTCCGGTCTGTGACCTCTTGAGACTAAGAGCCCTTAGTTCTTTTGGATGGCAACGCATGAGCCTTCTTTGTTTGAAATTGGTTGCAGATATTCATGGGGTGCAATAGCCGCCAAATAATATCAGGTGGACTTTTATTTTGTTTGCCACTTCAATTTCATATAACAGTCTGTAGTGTTATGCTACTTACATATCATTTTACATTATTGTAAATTCATTTTTCCATTCTGTTTCGATTTTCTGCATTCACCTCAAAACTGGATATTTTACATCACCTTTATTTCCATAGGATCCTGTAACGATTTTAAACCATAAGAACACAATAACAAATCATTTCTACTTCGTATTTTCACATTATCAGCACTTTTAAATTGGTGTCAATGGAGTCTACCTTTTTTCGATCTTTTAGCTAGTTTTCCGTAACTCTACAATCTTGGGCTTTGTGTGGGCAGCTGCGCTACCTTTTTTCCTATATCAATAATATCTCATTTTCCACTTAAATCTTACCGTTTTCTTATTATAAACCTAAAACCAAAATTTGACATGTTTTGATATTGTTATTTATTTCGTTGCTATAGTAATTATATTCAAATTTGCTACCGATCTGTTGTTCCTATTTCGATAATTCCACATAAATACTTTTTTCTCTTGACCATTTACAAAAAATTTGCGTTTAATTTAAATAATTTTTCCGTTCTCTCTAGAAAGGTATAAAAGCCGAACAATCGGTGAAGAAAAGCAGTCTCGCTTCAGCTCGCGAATTGGAAGTATCTCCTAAAGGCCTTATCCCGGGGTCGCACTGCCCCGGGATCCTGCAAGCTTCCACCTACACGTGAAGTCTTCGGCGAAGCCTTCTTCAAGCGCGGAGTCGCACCACTCCGGAATCCTACAAGCCTCCATCTACTTCGGAAGTCGTCGGCAGTCTACTTCAAGCGCGGGGGCCACACTACTCCGGGCGCTACGACTGCTTACTCCAGGCGCCGAGTGCACCTACCGCCGGCGCTACCTTTGGGCGCTGCAACTGCTGGCTCTAAGCGTTGAGCGCCCCTTCTCCAGGCGCTACGTGCGCCGGCTCCGGACGCTGCGTGTGCTGGCTCCAGGCGCTGCGCGCCGTCGCTGCTAAGAAACCTACCTCTACAAGCGCAACCGGCGTGTGCTGGCTTCAGGCGCTGCGTGCCGTCGCTGCTAAGAAACCTACCTCTACAATCGCAACGTGTGTCGCTTCGACTTTTAGGCTCCACTACAACTCTTTATTCCCCTATTCTCCTACCTTTATTTTTTTGTAATCTAATTGTACTCTCACTTCATTCATCATCATCCTCATTTCATTTTTTTTTATAAAATTGTAAATACCTTTTAAAAATTTAAATATATTGTTTTCTGGCTCTACTTTTGTTGTTTTGTTGTACTTAGGTTAGGTTCTATTTCTATATTTTTTTTAATTGTCGCTTCACGACAAGTCATTATACCTTTATAATGTTTACAAAATTGAATATTAGTTACAAAACAGACTACCGAATTTATAAAAATATAAATAGTTTTAATTGATGGAATTAATGTGTTGTTGAAAACAAATGAACATATAAGTAAGACCAATCGGATAATCTGATATATGGAACTGCTACACAGTATAGCCACGACAGAATCCAAAAGTGTACTAGACTGACCAAAAAAGCACTCGTGTAGCACTAAAAGCGCTAAAATAGCAGCACTATGAATTAATCGCAATCATCGTAGTGATATTTTTTGAATAGGTATATGGTATATTTAACATAATTTTTACGTGGTAGAGTTATGTTGCAGCTATATTACGGTTGCAGCACGAATGGGTCGGCTCGACCGGGGAAGGAAGACGCTCTCACAGAATACCAGCCTAAAATAGCAGCTCAATGCTGCTGTGTTTCGTATGGTGAGTGTATAGAACCGGAGATTTTTTTACTAGAAACGAGGCATTCCATCTCAGTCCTCATGGGTGGCAACGCATCTGCATTTTAATCTTTAATCGAGGACAAATGTAGATGTCTATGGGCCACAGCATCCACTTACCATCAGCGAATGAAGAGTTTAATAGCTAGTTTAGTACCATGGTTAGTAATGGTATAAAGCTGAGCCAATAACCTAAGAATAAGATCTTATTTTTCGATCATTGAGGTGAGCAAGTTGATATTTGATAGACAATGACAGCAATAAGAAAATTGTATGTATGTTTATATGAAGAATTTACTTATAGACAAGCTTGATTTTAACTTAAGATTTTATAATCTTTGCTTAAGAGCTTAGGATTGTGACATAAAAGCATAGAATTATTATAAGTTTCTACTAATAATTCTATGCATTCAATACATGATATAGATTAGACGTCGATAAATGCGAAACATCTAGTTAAAAAAATTAAAAAATCATACTCCAAGATCATACATACCGCCGTATATGCATCACATACTATATAGAAATGCATAAGCAGTGTTGCCAACTCTCCGCCATGAGAGTTGTTAGACTGTGAGGACTAAATCCGCAATATTACGCTATATTTTATGGAATGAGTTTGCTGTAAGTCGTCATATTATGTCGCCAGATTAAAGTTTATAAAAAAAAAACAAAAGAGCTTTTAGATTTAGATTAGAGTTTGAATACTTTGTAATCATATAAAATGTACTAGACGGATAGGATTACATGTTTTAAGAGTTACGCTGCAGTAACAAAAAATCATTGTTAACATATAACCTACAAAAAATGTGATTTGCTGTATTTCGATGTTATAAGACTTCAGGTGCTTCCAGAAATATGTCTATGCCAATTCTTAAGAATGTTAAATAAGCCATTTTACAAAAATGTTAATTAGTAGTACGTTCTTCTTTATACGCATTTTTTTCATATTACATTAGCCACGAATATCAGATTTTATGATTCCGGTTACATTTTCATAAAATCTTTAGGCCGTCTACTATATACAATATGTAACAAAAACCCTGTGGTTCCCGTTAAGTACGTTATCAGGATCATTATTCAAACGTATAGAAATAACTTTTTTTTTTAAACTCGAACAATATATTTTTTATTTTATTTAAAAAAATTATTGTATGCAAATTGTATATGGTTTTATTACCTCTGCATTGTCTGGGGAGTACGAGGATTGTCAAACATCCCGCTTTACTTAGCTTTAGCATCGGCTAGTGTCAGTAAGAGGTAATAAAACCACATAAAATTAAAAAATATATTTTTTTAATAAAATTAAAAAAAAATTGGTCCAGTTTAAAAAAAAGGTTATTTCTATAGGTTTCAATACTGATCCTGATAACGTACTTAACGGGAACCACAGGGATTTTGTTACACGTTGTATAAATTGGTATCTTTTTTATCTGTAATCTTATTGAAACTGCTTTTGTTTAAAAATTTAATAAAGCGACATCTTTGTTTCGCTAAGGGCAAAAGTAATGTATGACGTTGGAGGTACATATTGTGATTTAGAAGTTTTACGCGATAATCATAAGATGTCTCTGCATAGAAAATAATAATAAAATAAATAATATTTTAAGAATTAACTGTTATTTTGATAGACCTAACAAGCTATAAGCGTTACTTTAATACTTTCATTTAAGACTAAGTTAATACTAACTTTTACTTATTCATTTTATTTTATTGCCTAATATTAATTACAATTTTTCAAATTTAAAGGACTCAATCGATATCCAAAGCTTTGAAGGTCACCTTGGAAGACCGCGAAAGCTCAAACTGGGCATCTGGGCAATAAAGTAAAGACATGAGGGATTTTATTACATGGCGGTTATCACGTACGATCCACTGAAAGAACATCATGTTCAATAAACAGAGAGCAACTCATGATTGCAACACGATTCGGGTGTCTTGCATATTATTTTTCACGCGGCGTTTCTCATGTTTGTTGATGTGACGACAGACGCGTAGCGCGTACACCTCACAAACAGACGCGGGCGACATTCCGTTGATATTTAGTGTGTGTTGAGTATAGTAGTCACAGAGTACGTTTAGTAGTAATTCTGTGGTAATTCCTTGCGTGTATTAGAGAGTACTTTTATTACTTTAAAGTGTGCTTTGTCTGCATTTTGGTACCTAAATTTTATTAATTAATAATTTCATCATGGATAATATACCAGCTAAAGGAAATATTTTGGGAAGTAAGTTTATTTATGCATCATTTTTTAAATTATTAATTAATTTATTATTTTTTTTATTACTGAAGTGTTATTATTTTTTGTGTCAGTAATAATTGTTCCATTAGTAAAAAAAACCCTGACGACCTTTTCATAAAAAATCGTTCAAATTATAAATTAAGTAGTGTAAAAATTAATACGTCAAAACCTTCATAGATTTTGCGGACAGTCCTGCAGTAACAATTGTAATTATTAGGTAAATAAAATATATCCCGTATACAAGTTCTTCAAAGCACTAAAAGTCTTGTTCATGTCACGTACACGTTTCATTCAGTTTAGATGATAAAATAACATGCCGACATTGAAAAAGTTTGATACTTAGTGAATATAACATAAGCGCACTACCTATTTATTGTAAAATTTAAAGAGCAGCTGTAAAATTATTATTAATATTATGATAAATTAAACATTATTACTTTAAGACTAATGAGAGACTTCACAAAGTTGATCGCCTTTTTGTTATGTAAAACTTTGGAGCGCGATTACGGATTTTATTATTATTTTTGATGAATAAGACCATTAATTTTCAAATAATTTAAAATATTCTTATTATTTTATGCCAGGTAAGGCCAATAAAAATAATTTTTAAAATTTAAAAGCATTTTGTTTTGTTGATAAAATTAAAATTAAAAATCAGTTCCTCGACTCGAAGTGTGTGTCATTTAAAAATATTACAAACATCATAAACATTATAAATGTTAATCGACCACGGATCAAATCGGTTAGTGTATAATAATTATTGATAATATCCATGTTGTTTCCTACTGTTAACGAAACATTAAGAAAATATTGATTTGTCTGAAGTCATCTACCTTAAGCCATTATGCTGAAGTTTCGGAAAATAACAAAACAATTTCATTCAGGTTGCAACTATAAAACTACACCCGAATCCGTAACACGTATTTTGACGACGGTCAATACACTTAATATAGAAATAAAAAAATATTGGTATTTTAAATTATTGTCCCTTATGCCATTTATGTACTTTTGTAAACTGCTTCCACTATACAGGAGAATATCCTATTGTAGGGTAACGTTTTTCAACTATATTATTATGGTCAATTATAAACTACATTATACTTATTAAATTTTTTGTCGCTACAGGTTCATATTAATCCGAACTTTATTATATAATGTCATATAATATCCTAAAGTTAGTTATTATAAAATTAAACTGCGGCTAAACTACGTATTATATCGCTCATCCAACAGAACAACTCCTTATAATTACGTTTTCGATACTTTTCAGGAGAAGGGTTTCAAACTTTGGAATTGAAATATAAATGTAGTTTTAATAATTTTTATTATACCTTTAAATATTAACGTATGTCAGTTTATTACCAACAATAATTCATAATAACTTACTATGAAAACTCAAGAAAATTTATTCAAAATGCCAAATAAAAAATTACTGCAAATAGGCGTGGTTTGGAGATGAGAATAAAAATATGAATTTAAACGAGTTATTGAATATAGTTTTCATTTATCCATTAAAAGTAGCATCAAATACTAAAATTAAATCTTTAAAAATAAAAAAACCCTACGTACGAAACAACACCGGTCATGATCTTAACTAAAACGATACAGTAAATCTATAAAAGAAACAAAATAGTTAATTACTGTAAATTGAATTGACGTAATCACTCATCTATTACTATAATAATAATTAGTGGGATTTACGTATTGTATGAGGTCTGAAGAGAAGGGTAGGACACGGTAATCCTCGAATCCGGCAACTTGTTCTGTCCCAAGGAGGTGTCGGATTTATCGTCCACAAGTTTCTCGTTAACAGCGTTGTAAAGATTGGGAGTGTGTCTACGAGGATTGCGTACCTTATACTCAGAAACACCAAACGGTATTCGCTGAAGGTCATACAAGTTTTCGCACCAATCTCGGCTTTTCCCGATGAGGTGGACGAAATGTATGAGGATATCTCTAGAGCCATGCATTCCTCCAAAACTCACTATACAATGTTAACGGAAGACTTCAAAGGAAAACTAATTACAAGAGAGAACGGTTAGCTGAAAGCAGAAAAATTCGGGATAGGGAAAAGGAACCCAAGGGGCCAGCAGTTGGCCAAATTTATGGAGAAAGAAGAACTCTTCATGATGAACTCTTTCTTCGAAGGAATTCTTCTTCGAGAAGTGGCCCCACAGATAGTGAACCTGGTCAACCTGGTCTATCTCAGTGAGTGCGAGGGTGAAAACTTGCAGCGATCACAGAATGGTGAGAGGCACACTGAACCTAAATGTTAAGTTGGAGAGGTCACATCTAATGAAGTCAACGCTCCGTCCCCCTCGTGTTCTAATCCAAAGCCCCGAAACCTTTCAGCTCGAGTTACAAAATCGTTTTCAGTACCTAAAAGACTGCAATGAAGTGGACGATATGAATGACAAGCTTGTGGAAACTGTCCATGCGGTCGAAAATAAGTTCTACAAGACCCGACGCAGAAGAACACAAAAACTCTCCGATCACACCCCCTTAATCTCATTGCTGTTGGACGGGAAATGAAGCTGCTGTCTCCAGCAGATTTCACATTATACAGGCAACTGAACAGACAGATATCCAAGTGAATGTCGTGGGATTTACGCAACTTTAATACAGCTCGTATTGAAGAAGCGATTGAGCGGAACGAGGGCTCCAAGCCAAGTCGAAGCTGAAGACTGAATGTGGCAGCATCATTTCCGGAACTCCTGATACTTTGAAAGAGATTAAGAGGTTCTATGGGTAGCTGAACACATCATCGTTGGAGCCACACGCAAGTGTGAGTAACGATAAAAGAGCAAGTCTTATCCGACACTATTCCGATGATATCCCAGACGTCAGTCTGAGCGAGATTCGAATGCCTCTCCAGCACCTTGAAAACGGCAAGACCCCGGGTGAGGATGGAATTATAGCGGAGCTTCTGAAAGCGAGTGGAAAATCGGTCCTTGAAGTCCTTCAGAGGCTCTTTAATTCCATCCTCCATAGTGGCACTGCTCCGTAGGCGTGGAGTAGAAGTGCGGTGATCTTTTCTTCAAGAAGCCGACGATATAGTACTTAATTCTTCTTGATATAGGACCTAAGCATTATGCTCAATGACCTCAATGGTGTCTCCCAACAGATAGATTTTAAGATGAACATGCACAAAACAAAAGTCATAAGTAACGTCCATGTCACACCTATGTCGGTAGTTGTTGGGAGTACTAAGCTCGAAGTTGTTGACTAATATGTTTACCTGGGACAAATAGTCCGACTAGGTAAGTCCAACTTCGAGCGAGAGGTCAAGCGACGGATTCAACTCGGCTGGGCAGCGTTCGGGAGATAACGACACATCTTCTCGTCAGGCATACTTCAAAACCTCAAAACAAGATTGTTCAACCAGTGCGTGTCCTTCATCGCTGTCCTGGCATGATGCTGGCATGAGAAAGCTCAAGGTCGTTCGGCGAGTTATGGAGAGGGCTATGCTCGGGGTTTCTCTGCGTGATAAATTGTCGTATATAACAAGATAATCTATTGCAGTCTTGTTGATACAACGACATAATTTTCATTCATGTTGAAATTGTCATAACTTACATTTACGTTGCTGTAGATCCCAACAAGTTCACACTTCACGGGGCTCCCTGCAGGACTGTCAAATCCGCCGATATTTCTCCGTAGCCATGCAAAAACCGTGTCGACTCCCAAACGACATTCACGCCCTCTAACGAAAACAACTGTTAGAACAATTCTGTCGTTTTTTTATAAAGAGAACTTCAGCAACGGGAACTTGTGACTTCAATATGTAGATTTCACCTTTTTTGTAATTACGTCATTGTTCCATTGGAGCCGGAGGAGCGATATTTTAATAAAAACACATAGACCGGGAAATTATAATTTGTTGTCACCACAGTCCCTTTTGTTCTGTTTTTATTTTCAATTTACCGCAATAATTTGTACCTTGGAAAGTATTATACAAAAGATTTTGGGATGGATAGTAATGACAACTCGAAATAATTTATTTTTATAAGTATACGTCGGCCCGAGGAACAGAATCGTTTTGACGTATCCTTTCTTTATTAATTACTCGCCCTCAGCTTGATTATAAAGCACACAAGTAGCATTATAATTTTTTTAGAATGAAAAAAGAAAATTAAATTTAGTGTTAAATATAGTCTAAATGAATCGTGCATTTTCGAAATATTCAGTTTCGCAGAGGTACTTTCTTTGAGAGCACTGGTACCTTAGGGGCAAAGCGCTAGCTGTAAATTTCACAGTACACGATCGGTTCGATCCCCGCCGGCACCAATGAAATTGTTAGTTGCAATTTTAATTGCTGATTTACCACGTGCTGGGCGCTGAAGGTAAACATCGTGAAGAAACCTGCATTTGTAAGAAATAAGAAAAAAAAATTTTCGAAGACATATGAAGTTCGCCAACACGCATTGGGGCAGCGTGGCGGACATTTCCATGTCCTAAAACCCACTCAGAAATGAGAGGAGGCCTGTGACCAGCAGCAGGACCTATATATGTAGGCTGTAACTTTACTTTACTACTTCCTTTTAGAAGATTTTCTGGCATACTGTGCTTGCTTTACTGGAAATAATTGTATGTGAAACATGATACTCTCTTCTTGATGTTTTCCTCTATTGTCTGTTTTATTAAAATCACTTTTTTTTTCTAAAGCAGTAAAAAGTACATTAAAAAGTGCAGTAAAATACTTTACATACCCGGACTTTTGAATATTCTAATTGCAAAAAGTAGTGTACGATTTTTATTCCTATTAATTTAAAGTATTTTATAGATTGTGAGACGACATATTTAGTGGTATACTGCCATGGTTACCAAGATTATAAAATGTTTGTAAAGTGGTATTTCTACTATCAGAGGAAAACATCTCACCACATTTCTAATTGCATTAGCATGTAGACCCTATTGTTTTTGCAATGTACTGCTTTTTATTATGATTGTAGCACGAACGGGTCGGACTGACCCCGACAGGACCA